AGGATCTCCGTAGGAAGCTTCCAGTTACTCGTACATTATTCCCGTGGCACAACACTATGCAATTTAGCCTCACAAGAGAKATCACAAAAGAGCTGGGAATCGAKAAGTAGAACAAAGGTTGATTTGGGTTTTCTGATCTTGAAACCAAAATTGTTTCATGTTTTGCTGAACAAGCATGTGTTAGTTTCCTCCTGTTAGAATCTTTATGGAGTGTTACGGAATGACCATTGACTAGGGTTTGACTTTTTCTCTCAAGGAGGCATGATCGTATGAAGATGATGTTGATGCTTTCGGTTGCTCCTTGGTGATGTGTTTGCGTTTATGCTCTTCGTCTCGGTTTGCTTGGTGTTCGATCTTGGTCTTCCTTTTGATTCATCCTACAACGGTCGAGGGTTTCACGGTTTGGTTTCACGGTTTCCCTTCACGGCGGTTTTAGGGTTTCGCTTTGGCGGGTTTTGGGTTGAATCGGCGGCAGTGTTTGGCTTTCGTTTCTTCTTGAAGGCTTTTTCCGTTTGGTTTGGCTTTGTTTTCGTCCTTGGTTGAAGGAGTTTGTGATCGTGTTCGCTGGAGGTGTTTTCTTTGTTTGATCCCGTCTTCTTCTTCATAGGCCGATTAGGGTTTATTGGTTTTTTAGGTGGCGGCTTTTGGTTTCTGCATCTCGGTTTTAGTTTGGCAACGATGGCTGGTTTTTGTTTCCGTTTTCTTCCTCACAGTCCGTTTAGGGTTTTTGTGTGGAGGAGGCGTCTTTTGGCCGTTGTTTCTGTTTTGAAGCCGATTAGGGTTTCTTGTCTTGGGTGGAGGAGATTTCGTTAAAGGTTGGTTTCGTTTTGTTTCCCTTGGCTGGTTACTCGTTTGTGTTATCTTGGCCGTCCGTACACGGGCTTGGTTTCTTTCTTCCCTTCGGTTAGCTGTTTCTTTGTTGTTTCTTTGTGAAGGTGTTTGCGTATTGTTGGTGATTGTTAAAAGGTTTTTGCTTGATTGCGTGTGGCTGTAGTTTCTCGTTTGTCCACATTTTCCTTGACTAGGGTTTGCATGTGCCTAGTACTCCTCGTCTAGGGTTTGCATGCGTTAGTGTGGTTTGGTGGGCTGTTTTGATCCTCGTCGTTTTGTGCGGTATTTGTTCGTTTGGCTTTGTTGCGGTTGGTTGGAGGTATTCCTATTTAGTTTCTTATCCCGCGTCAAGTGTTTCTGTGGTCTTCGTCTCCTTTGTTAAGTTTCTTGATAGAGTATTCAGCACCTTTTTATAAGGTCTTCGTCTACTTTATTAAGACTGCTTGGCTAGGGATTCAGCACCACGGCTTCTTGATTTGGGTTATAGTAAACTAGGTATTCTTGCCTGTTGAAGGAGGATGTTTGACTTTGCGGATGTTATCTTGGAGGATGGTTCTTCCCAGGATTTTGCTGATGTTATTTTGGGAGAGACGGATCCTAGCTTGGTAAAGGGCCCTTCTTTGCATGAGGGTCCTCAGAAGAAGTCTGGCATGATTGGGGACTCTAACCAGAGGGTTTCGGTATGGGAACGTCTTTCACCGGCGATTAGGGGCGATAAAGGTGTGGTTCCTCAGAAATCCTTTGCAGATATTGTGGGCGGTTCCTCTTTGACTGAGCTTACTTATTTTCCGGTTGAGAAAAGTGTGAAACCGCGGATCTGTTTTCCCTTGGATGTTACTAAAGGTATGGCTAAATCATTTCAATCGGTTCTTTATGGTTATTTTCTGGGTCCCCGTCTTCCTTTCCCTGTTGTTTTACGTGCGGTTCAAAATGCATGGGGAAAATTTGGTCTCATTGATGCTATGGTTAATGATATGGGGTATTTCTTTTTTCGCTTTAATGATGAGGGTGGGTGTAACCAAGTTATTGAAACGTCTCCCCTTATGATCAAAGGGAGGTTGCTGTTTGTCTCCTTCTGGGATCCCTCAAAGGGTCTTCAGAAACCTGAACACAAGTCTTGCCCGTTGTGGGTGAAGTTTTTTAATATCCCTCTAGTYGCTTTCAATAAAGAGGGTATCAGTCGCATTGCTAGTGCTATAGGCGTCCCKTTGCGCTTAGATGCTTGCACTGCCTCCACTTGTGATAGAGCATGGGGTCGTACAAACTTTGCTAAAGTTTTGGTGGATGTGTGGGCCGTGGGGGAAATGCAGAAGAATATTGAAGTGGTTATTCCCAGGCTTTCGGGTACTGGAGAGGACGTCATAAATGTTGTTCTGGAATATGATTGGGTTCCTTCCCAGTGTTCAGTGTGTAAAGTTTTTGGTCATCGTACGGCGACATGTCTGAAAGGGGATATTGAAAAACAAAGGTCTTCTGAAACAGTCACGGACAAAAGGGGTTTCACTGAGATCAGGCGAAAACAGTGGAGGAAAAAGGATACTTCAGGCCGTACAGTTTTTCAGGCAACATCTTCTGGAGGGGCCACAGGTACTCAGGATACGTTAACTGGGGTTGGTGTTCTAAAAAGCGTTCAGGAGGGTTCAAAACTCTCTGGGAAAGATACAAATGTCAAACATGTTTCAAGCTCTGAGGATTCTTTGAATTTGAAGGGGAAGGATACTGGAAAAGTAGACGGCCAATTCTGTACGGTGAATGCGGGACGTACGCCAAGAGGGAGAGAGGATGTTTCAAATGTTCAAATCTTATCGAAAGGTAATCCGGAGTTAGTGCAAAAGGTGGTGCAAGCTTTTAAACCAAGGAGGGGTAAAGTTCTTGATCTGAAAACTAGTAATCGGTTTTGTCTCTTTCTGATGAGTCTAGTGATGATGACGACTTGGAAACCATAGATACGGAGGAGCATATAAAGGCCAATAAAGGAGCGGATGATCCATCTTCTTTGTCTCAATGATAAAGTTGGCAGCTTGGAATATTAGGGGATTAAATGCCCTTATTAAACGAAAGGAGGTACAATCACTGTTGGTAATTGGAATTGGAATTGGATTTCATAGAGTCCAAAGTTGTGTACAATCACTTGGGGGATGTGTGTAGTAGTGTTTTTGGTAATTGGAATTGGATTTCAAATGGTTCGGTTAGTGATCAAGGCACTCGCCTAATTATTGCTTGGGATCCGTTGGTTTTATCTGTCCTTATGATTGAGCAGCATTATCAATATGTTCACTGTGAAGTTCGAATTCTTGGGCAAACTGAACCCCTTTTTATCTCTTTTGTTTATGGTTGTAATACGGGTACTGTACGGCGTGAACTTTGGCGGGCTTTTGGGGAATTTCATGCCTTTTGTCAGCGGAAAGCTTGGATTGCTATGGGTGACTTTAATTCGATGCTTTTCCCTCATGATGGGTTGGGAGGATCCTCTAGGAGGAATTCTGACATGGAGGAATTTCATATCTGTCTGGAGGCGGCTGAATTATTTGATATTTCATATCAAGGGTGTCAATTTTCTTGGATCCAGAAACCTTCGGGTGGAGAGGGTGTAATGAGAAAACTTGATCGTATTTTGGGCAATTCGAATTTTATATCTAGATTTGGGGATGCTTCGGCTTTCTTTGAGCCTCGGGGAATTTCTGACCATTCTCCGGGCATTCTTTCTTTCCGTGTTGGAAGACGTATTCGTCAGCGTGGTTTTAAGTTTGACAATTTTGTGACCTCTCATAAGGACTTCCTTGTTTCGGTGGAGGAGGTATGGATGAAGCCTCAGTTTGGATCTTACTTGAAGCGGGTCCTAAGGAAATTAAAAGATCTTAAGGTGGTTTGTAGGCGTCTCCGCAATTCGTATGGATGTTTGGATAAAAGGGTTGCTCAACTAAAGACTGARCTTGATGTTGCACAATTGGCTTGTGATCTTGACCCGTTTAATGATTTGCTAAA